TATTGTCGAGACATCCGACACGTGGATGCCAGAACCAGTAAGTGCCTCTGGTGGTGGGGCGGCTGATTTCGAGTGGACGAATAGACTCGAAGAAGAACGCATGAGGTATACAATTTTATACCACTGCACTCAATCAGATTTAATTTCAGGTCGTCACAAATTTTCAGGTGTCTCTGAATCTGGTACCTATGAATTCATAGTTCCCCAAAAGCTCCTGACTAGTTTCTCATGAGCACAGTCACCATTTTAACCTGAATTGCCTGATATCAAACTGGCCAGCCTTTGACTTTGCCAGCTATAATACATATCCATTTGCTCCCTTACTTTGCTATCCTTTGCAGTATAGAGTGAATATAGCTGATACTGCTCGTCCTCTGTCCTGTCTTCCCCATAGGTTCAAGAGATAATTCCGTTGAGATACCGAGAGACTATCCTATCAGATGAATACATCTGATTATTATTTCTGATTGATCAACTCATAGGATTAAATGACAATCTCGTAGGATTGAATGAGCTATTCGGATTGAATGATAGGATTTTGCAGAACGCAAGAACTTCGTATCAAAAATGAACAGCTGACAGTCGAGATTCAACGACTGCATCAGCAAATGGAGTATGCACAACAAGAATACGAACGTGCCTTTCAACTTCGAGAGCAAATGCGCGAGAAAGTGAGTGCAGTTCCAAGCGTTTCAAATCACTAAAAATATCTGAGGTGCTATCAATGAATAAATTGATCCAGTAAATAAATCGTGGGATATGATCTCAACACGGATACGGATAAATTCATAGGGAAATTTGTTTGAATTGACAATTATAAAAGTTAAAAATCCACTGAGATGACGAAAAACTCAAAGAAAACTTCCAAACGTCCTCCAAAATGATCCAATTTCAAATTTGAGCATTTGATCGCAATCAATTTAAATGAAAGTAAAGTTCAAAGCAAGTAATCATAAAGGGAACTATTCTTTGGAAGAATTTCATTTGGGAAACGAAATCTTATCAGTTACTTTTAATGAAAAACAATCAACTAGCCCATACGATCTCGTTTGCCTTCAGATAGCGAGAAGATCAGCAGTATGATATGGTGAGAGTTACTGCAATATGATACTGTAATTTTAGGGAATGGCTGAGTTTTTGGCCGATCAACGTAAGAAGATGAATGATCTGTTGGCTGAGNCCGACTACAAAGATTTGACAGAACGTGAGCTTGAGAACCAGCGTAATGAATTCGCAAAAATTTCACGAGGAGTCGGCGGTTTCAGTCGACATGTGACCACGGTCACCTCACATGAGGTTCGTCCGATCAGTTTTGACTAGGCAATGCTTCAGCCAATTGCATACTGAAGTCGCAAGTAAATCCGAAAAAAATACCATGCCACGGGATATAATCATAAAACATAAGCAGATATATTAATGAATCATTCGAATACGACGAGATTTACGAGTTTAATGGGATTGAAACTATCCTTTATGCTTTACTGCTTCATTGAAAACTCACTTGATGTAACCATCCTGTGATGAAACTAATGAATCACTTAATTAAAGCATACTTCAAAGCATCAGAGAAACCATTCGAGGTGATAAGTGCAGATCAACCAGCTCATCATATAATCCACCAAATCTGCTAGACTATGCAAAATCCGATAGACCTTATAATAGCACGGTTATCCTGATACTCATACACAAGGGATCACTTTAAACGGACTGATCTGGCTTCTGAACATGAGCAAAATTGATTGAAGCTGATGTATTAATCGCTAGTCAGAGTTGAACTTTAAATGATTTTCCCATTTCAGGGAAGTGATACGGTAATAAACCAAGATGTCGAATTAATGGAAGCCGTGAGAAGACTTCGTGAGCAACAAACCGAACCCAAGGGAGCATCCGCTGAAGACTATGATACCCTGATGAAGAAGTGAGACCTTCCATAAGCCAACCGAGGCTCTTATCCTATAGATTTGATCAAGCAGTAATTCTGATTTTTTTGATCGCAGTTTCGGTAACTCATCTCATCACATAGACGACCTATAAAGTAGTTGGAACAGGCCTGATCTCTTGATCACTTAAGGGCATCTAGAGGAATTAGTCAAGTTTAATAATCCCTCCGAATGAAAGCTTATAAGATTTAAAAGTTTTAAACAGTGACCACAATCATTTGACCAATCAACGTATACCTTTCCTACTAAACGCCACAAGAAAACACAGATAATGCGCGAGTGCTTGATGAGAAGTCCATCGAAATTTTGAGCCGCTTGATAAAATTCAGCGATAGTTCTTAGGCTAGTTTTGGCCGACACACTGGAATAGAGTATACTGTAAGTTCGATCACCAGAACAACGATAAAAAGTTTGAAATTGCAGAATATTAGTCTGGAACCTATCTCCTGTTTCAACTCGTTCGAATTTATGACAATTATAATATCTTTCTCGAATTCTAGATATGAAGAGGCCATCGAAAGAATCCTTGAACTGGAATCTCGCGGCGAAGCGGTCTCAGGAAAGGGTGGTGCACTTGAGACTGAACTGAAACGACTCAAAGAAAAATACTCCGAATGTCAGG